TCTCTGTGTTCTGGTCGATCACTGTGTCTCTCCATCTTTCGTCCCTCTGGTGCTGAGGTTGTGAGTGACGGCTAGTCTCAGTCATGGTGGCCCTACAAACAATAGACTTTAAAATGTTGTAAATAATTATCAATATTTAATGCGAGATCCTCAGATGTATTTAATGGAAAATGAAGCTCTTCTATTCAGGCCAATATGGTTAATTACTTTTGAATTGAGTGCATAATTTGATGAGACGATGACGTGAATGTAAAGTGAAAGACTGAGAGTTCGGATGAGAGCAGAAGTATTCACATTAATGCGAGTCAATGCTGGTTACTTGTAAGTGCACGGCTCTAATGCTGCATTATATATGGCAGAAGGATTACCATGTGGGCATGCCCCTCCTCCAAGTCCCATCCACATTCAATCACATCCTCAGTGCGCACTGAAATCCTTTTACATGTGACCCCACTGTGACTCAGCCTGAACATAATAAACTACTAAAGCTGTGCGGACACCTGTGATAATGACATATTTTCCTACAGCCCAGAGAGTCAAATCATCAACAACTGAGACGCAGGGCACTCTGCTCCATGTTAAACAGTCATTTAACGGACTGACACCGGCTGTAGCTTCCACCTTGTTTCCATGGCAACCCCACCAGGGTGCTGGGCGCCGGTTGGAGTAGCCGGCGAAAGGCCGGTCAGGTGTGAAATTACCTCAGTGCCCGGCGCCACATGGAGCGTGAAGAGAGTTTAACAAAAGCAACGTGGTTAAAGGAGAGCTGCAGCCCCCACCTTAACCAGCAACCCTCCCTGCTGACACACACACACACACACACACACACACACACACACACACACACACACACGCACGAACACACACACACACACACACACACACACACACACACACACACACACACACACACACACACACACACACACACACACACACACACACACACACACCACTTTGCTGTCATACTAATGCAATTCACTTCAAGTAGTATTTCTCCTCAGTGCAAAAAGCCCAGCGACAGGTTAAATTGGGAGATAGATGTAGGCATGCTAATGCTGGATGCAGGGATGAGCATAAAATAGACTGAGATTCGCCCTGACATCTATATACCAATGTTCCACTCCTCTGATTTCTCTATTCTATGTCGTGTCAACTTGGATTGAGGCAGTGCCAGTTTCTGCAGAAGAAATAACATGAATTCTCAGATTGTGTCAGCAGCTCATATATAGACGCATTTTCTTTTTGTGGGGGAGTCACTCTGTATGCAACCTGTGTTTTGCAAAGTAAAACTACTGCATGCATTCTCATTGGACTTATTTTTTCACAGGGTTATTTGAGTTATCAGCCAGAACTTTTTTTTATCAAGTTCTGACCATCTGGAGGATTGTATGATACCTAGATTTCTATTATTTCAGAATGCACATCTACAGCTGTGTCAGTGTACTGGTCTAGCTAGGTAATCCTACCACTGCTGAGTGAGGCAGAGGGCACAGAGTCTACTTTGTGCATTAAAGGAAATAATGTCTTTTTAGGTTTTTAGGTATTTATCATGAACAAACAGACCAATGTGCTTTAATTGTACTTGAACGTTAACTGTAATAACAGTTCAGTAGTACTTTACAGTACAGGGGAGATGTGGGGGTAGGGGTGGGGGTCTAAAAATGCTGCAGAAGTGCCCTCTCTGATGCTCACTTGATGATCATTCAGCAGGTAAATATAAAATAAGTACCTTCCAGATGCCCTTAAAGTGGATAACTATAAAAGAATAGCCCAGTGGTCGCCCCTAGAGGAGATACATATTAAAAAGGGCCCTTTGGATGACTTCCTGTGGATAAATGAAAAAAAAGGGCCATTTGGTTGCCCTTCCTTTAGCTATAATTTGAAAGAAGCACCAGATTAGATTTCTGTCAATTATATAAAACATAAATAAAAGTGCTCTTTGAGTGTCCCATCTAAATGTAAAAAAGAGACCTCTGGATGCTGTTCCAATAGATAAGATTGAAAAAAAAGTGTGATTAACGGAGGTTGAATACCACTGTGCTATGTGAAATAGTAAGATAGGCTGTTTTCAATAGTTTACTAATGCAGTGGGACATACACAGGATACTCGAGGCTCATAAATAACCAAAGTCAGTTGAGCGCATTATCAAAGAACACATATGTCCACTATCACTCACAACGCAAAGCACGTATGTCTGTTTTAAATTTTAAATGAATCACTGATGACTCTCTCTCCCTCTCTCTCTCTCTCTCTCTCTCTCTCTCTATATATATATATATATATATATATATATATATATATATGTACACATCTGAAAGGCAGGTGCAGACTGGCACTGCATTATGCACAAAACGTTGTGGTCTTTGTGGTTAGAAGAAAGTATAGGTGCGATGACGGAGAGAAAGAGACTTCAGCACATGTGTCAACATATTTGAACTGTCGGAAATAAAAAATTGTATTGACATCTCCTCTATCCAGCAATGCCATTTTTTGCAACTGCTAGATGACCTAAGGGCTGATTTCTGCCAGTCCTCCACTAGTTTTATGCAAAATCCTCATTTAAACAGGGCGGTCCACACCACATTTACACCTGTTATCAATTGTGCATGCAACCACAGTAGATCTCCCGCAACACACCCACTTATAGCACACGCGAGTTTTTAGTTTGCACACGCAATTTAGTGCTCGTTATTTGAGTTCTTAGTAGATCAAGCCTTCAGTGTGGAAAAATGCCCTGTGGATGCCCGCCTAGTAAAATTTAGTTTGAAAATGTGACTTTTTTATGCTTTTCCTATGGATTAAGGGTCATTAGGAGCCTTTCTGGTTATGACTGTTGAATGGCAGTAATCTTGTGAAGTTTGGTAAGTCATATCACTAACACTGATCCTAAACAGATGAACAGATGATCAACAAGGAAGTGAGCACACCTGAGCTGCTGTTTGGGCTGTACCCTGAGTGACAGCTTGAGTACAGTAACAGGACACACTGAGTGATGTCCAGCTAGTCTTTAGAGCAACAAATGCCAGAGCTTTCATGTATCGCAGTGCTGCAGGTCGAGGCACTCGGTGTCAGCGGTGACAGGGAGGTGGTGAGTCGTGTCTTTAAGCCTTCTGCATGACATCTGAATTACAAGGCAGGCGCAGGGGTGGCTGCGATGATCTGACATCCCGGTGAGCTCCATGAATATGATTTATGGAGACAAATATCACAGCCAGGCTGAAAACTGAGAGAGAGAGGGAGGGCGGCTCTGCAGGACTCAGATACACAGACATACACAGCAGGAAGAGGCTGAATCAATGTATGGAGACATTTCATTAGTGTGACTATTCCCGATCAAATCTTTGACACATTGTAAGGGTGCAGTGGTCTGCGAACAACATTCAGACAGAGAGACACGCTGCAGTCATCTTTGACAGTGCTGCAGTATTGGTTTGATGTTCTCTGCTCTAATTTAACATGAAAATATGATCTGCCTGTGGTAACTAGCTTTAAAATCAAAGCACTTATCATTATTAACCCCTTCACTATTCTTAAACAATGAGGGTTGCATATGTTTATCTAGCAACAAAAAAATATTGCATGCAGCAAAGGTTTCATACTGACACATGGAACAGGAAATTACCAGATTCCACTGCAAACTAAATGTTTGCAAATCCTGTTTCTTTTTAAACAGTGTACCAACCTGAAGGTTCCACTCAAGACCTGAGACCTGGTTCTAAGAAATGAGGCTGATGCAGGACTGCTTAAAACTGCAATTCCCTGAGTGTCCACTCGAGGCTGGCTGCAAAGTCACAGAAAACTGTTCATTGGAAATAAGAAAAAAGTTTTATTTATTTATTGACATATTCTTTTTTTTTTTTTTTTCAGAAACAAGCATCCTAAGATTTTGGTCCAGTTTTAGTCTGAATATCTTACTTCTTCTCCGGTTAGTGAGCATCTTGAGGCTGGTGTTCTGGTGTAAACGGTGACTCTGTCAAGTGAAAGCTTACGGCCAAATGTTCAATATCTCTCACCAAATGTTTCTTGTAGATGCCTTGTTTTTCACCAGAAATTTATCTGATAGGAAATGATGAATATATTTTGGCATTTTGATAAAAACGAGATAAAACCGTTGTAACCATAACAACCTGTGCAGAGCTGCCACATAGAGGGCAACCATTAGAAATATACTGGATCTCAGGTGAGTTATTTTATGGCAACCCGTTGCTGAAATGCATAAACTCCGGATATTACCATTACCTGACTATTTACAGCTATCAAATTGATATAAGAACACTCAATGATGTCTGAATACCACCATTAGAAAAGCCACCAACTTTGTCCATAGGGGGCGCCAGAATCAACACAGTATGAAAATCCTTTGCAAGACAAGAGAAGATACTTTCAATATTGAACATATCTAAAAATATAATTACATACTTTAAAAAAAAAAAAAAAACTCCAAAGAGAAATTAGAAAGTGTGCTTGTTTCATCTCCAAACCCACTGGTGGACCTCTCACCAGAGTGTGTGTGTGTGTGTGTGGGTGAGTGGCACTAATTCCTGCTATTCTGATATCATGCCTGTGTGTGACTGAGCCCTGACTATGAGAGCTGACAATTTAGATGCAAAATACTCCATTTGGGTTCAAAGAGTAAAGTTAAGTTAAAAGTTAAGCTCTGAATCTGAGGGCTGACAATTTCCATGCAAAACACTTCACCTCGGTTCAAAGAGCAAAGTGAAGTTAGTGAATACGCTTTTCCTTTACCTTTTATTAAACACACTGAGGCTGTTTGGGGAATGATGGGAACCTTTCATTAATCTCATCCTCATCAGGTACATGTTTCCCAAATGAAGATTAAAGATGCTTTTACAGCTCTCTGAAGTCTCTGAACTCCAAATTTGCAGTTTACTCCTTCTTTTAAGATAGTCAAAACACCGCCCTCTCAAAGTGCATCCAAACTCTCTGACTTAAGACTCCTGGAAGCTCCACAGTGTTCATTAGGAGCTTGTTCCTGTTAAGAAACTCTGAAGAAAGGAGACATGAATACTTCCGAGGGTGAGCGCTGTTTTATCAGCTCTTTCTGGAGTCGTCTCAAGGTTTTGTCGCTCACAGCCAACGCGTCTTTGAGTTTCCTCATCAGTGGCTCTTCAAAGGCTGCGGCGATGACAGAGTGAGTGTTAAAAGGAAATCTTTGGAGGACGAGGGGGGAGAACGTGAAAATCTGCAAAATGGCAGGCAGCCAGGTTCCTTCAGTCTCAGACTGAAAGTTGCCGTATGTTCGCTCGTCCTTGCCGCGCCCTCGGTGAACCAGATAATCAGCCATGGCGAGGAGGAAGGCGACCAACAGAAGCGTGTGAGACCGCAGGGACTCGTGCAGGAAGCTGTTGAGTTACTGTACCGTAAATATCAATATTCATATTTAGCATGAAAAAGCAGAACAGAAGAAGAACAGATTGCACAAACGAAAAGTCAATTAAAGGAGGGAAAGGTTGAGCGAACCTCTAACTGGCATGTGTTGCCTCTTGTCTATAAATATTCATTTCTGTAATTAGTTTGTAGTAATTACTTCACATTGTGAAATAACTCTGATTTCATATGATGTTCTCTAAATACACCCAGAAATGAGTTTCTTTGGGTTTTTATTGCCAAAGCACGCACCATTTGTTCCAGTAACCTTTCAGTCTGTAACTCATTTATTTGATTGTGTTTCATGCTCATAATTTTTCTGATCTACAGCAACAGAAACAGAGGCGGGTTGACTGAAATTACCCCGTATTTATGATTCATTTTGTCCTACTTCTTGCATAATGGCTCCATGCATGATCAAATTAGATGTTTCTCTTTAGCAGAGATTTCAAATGGAGGTAGAATAAAAAAAAGATTTATTTAATAAACTCTTTAAGTCAGGAGTCTGACATACCAGCATGACATCAGCTCTTTGTTCTGCAGTAAACACCGCTGACATTTACTTTAGAGATTTTGAACCTCAAAAACAACATTTTCACACACTTGTGAGTAAACAGATGTGTTTGAGACACCAGGGGGTAACTTTTGTCTTTGAAATGCTATTCTCATCCATCATATACTGACAAGTCAGTCCACTTGATGGAATCTTGTTGATGCAGATTTTGCTGGTGTGTAAATCATTAAAATACAAAACTTTTTAAAAAGTGCACCGACAGCATATCAAGTGCTGAAATTTGTTTATGGTAACACATTTAAAAGAAGTTACTAGAGGAACACTTAAAAGTTGTGAAAAAAAAACAGCTGAACGAATACCTTCCAACCAATGGGGCTGATTTGCAGCAGGTTCATAAGAACTTTGTGAGTGACCGTGTAAGAAAATAGAAATATATTGCAACAGTTTCAAAATAAAGTTCTTAAGTGTAAAATGTCAAAGAATGAGAGGATTTCATCATCTATAGAACAAAATATCATTAAAAGATTCTGAGAATCTGGAGAAACCTCTGTACAAAAGGAACAAGGGCCAAAACCAAAAAACACTGGGTTAAAAAACACTTCCAGAAACACTGTCTGTGAACACAGTTCATCACTGACTTCACAAATGAAGGTTCAAAATGGACCACATGAAGAGGAAACCCGATAAAAACATGATCCACCATCACCAGAGACTTCAGAAGGACTGAGGGGAAGTGGAAAACTGACCTGTGGTCTGACCAAAATTTTTTGTTTGATTAATTTTTTGATTCATAATAACTGCACCCTCCTCTCTAAAGAGCAGAAGGTCCACCCTGCTTGTTATCAGCTCACAGTTCAAAGTCAGCCTCCCTGGGATCATTAGAGTCCATGTCATGGGTAGTTTATAAATCTGTAAAGGCTCCATTAACGCTGAACAATACAAACAGGTTAAGGAGCAACATTAAATCAACGACTAATTCGTCACCCACTGAAAATATTTGGACTAATATTGAAACAAAAAGCATGACGAAGGACACCCTGAAATATTGAGCAGCTGCAATCCAATATCAGGCAAGACTGGGACAACATCTCACTCTTTTTGACTTCAGAAACTCGTCTCCTGGGTTCTCTAACATTAAAAGAAGAGCCAATGACACAAAGCGGGAAGCATGACCCTGCTGCTAGGATCAAATTTAGAATTTTTTTTTTCTTTTTTTTTTTTAAAGCCATTTCAAGGTCTGCAGAAATGAAAATCTTTAAGGAAATGAATGTACAGTGTGTGCTGCAGACAGTGAGTGTGTTTATGACTGGTAGAGTGCTAGATGATTCACTGTTCTTTATCGCTGTACTGTGACGACAAGGGGGCGTAGGATTTTATCTGAGAAAGCCTGTAATGATAGTACAGAGGAACCACACACAAGTTTCTGACTTGAAACGTGACGTCACAAGAGGATGGTTTCCTGTGGTTTATTCTGAGTGGGTTTAAAACTGTGTACAGTAGAGAAAAATCATGGGATACAAGTAAAAACTAAGCAAATGTTTATTTAAGCAACATTTTGGATTCAAAGGTGGTGATTGTACATGCCACAATGTGCAGCGACAGAACAAGTCCATCTTTGAGACGAGCTATCAAGGGTAAAAACTAAATATTGGATTTCAGATTTTTCTTCATAAAGGCTGCTGTGGTTGCTTTGAGATTTGTGGCAGTGCTGAAGCTTGTAGAGGTAGAGGCTGATAGAAACCACTCTGAGATGGATGTAGTGGTGGTGGAGTGTGTGTTTGTGTGTGTTTGCGGGGGTGTTGTTTGGTAGTTAGCATGCAGGAGCACCCTGAGGCTCTGGTTCTCCACAGAAACCAATCTGGACCTGGGGGTTCAGCTGGAGGGGCCTTTCTGCTCCATCTGGAGGCTCTGAGGTGACCCGCCACACACAGGTGAACAAACAAACACACACACACACACCTGAAATGATGGCTCAGTGTGGGAGATAGGGGGAGGTTATTATCTCCTCTCTGCTTTGTGTGTGTGTCCAGGAGGCTGACATGTTGTCACTACACCAGAACGGGCTGATGCTGAGTGCAACTGAATGACAAAGATGTTTACAGCTCCCTCTCCCTCTCTCTCTTTCTGTGTGTGTGTGTGTGTGTGTGTGTGTATGCTATTTACCTCCATCCATTTTCTCTCCTCGTCCTACATCGCTGTCTCTGTCACATCTCCTCTAAATGACAGACTGTAGAGCCACATTGTGGAAGAATCTCTGAACAAACAGAAAAACACTGCTGACTATCTGAACCTGTCAGTTCTTCTGTGTTGCAGCATAAACTCATAAACTGAACCTTGAAAGTCTTTTGTTTCACCAGACACTTTGTTTCTTCAACAATTCAATATAATACGATTGAAGAACTTTATTTATATAATTCATTTGTCTGGAATCTAATCTCATCTCCTATTTATAAAAGAAATAAAGCAGTCCCTTTGAGCTTGACTAGCTTGAGGAGTTCTTCTAATTTTGACTTGAGTTGCAGGCTTCCTCAGCACACAGGGTTTGTAACAGGTCTGTAGGTAAACCAAGTTATGATCTGACTTGCCCAGTGATAGTTAGGCAGTGGCTCTGTAGGCTTCTTTGACATTGGTGTACTGCAGATCAAGGGTTTTGTTTTCTCGAGTAGGACAGTTCACAAACTGCCATGGTTGAACTCTCCTAATATGACTATAAGTGCCTAAGTTTGATTTGTCTGTATCCTAGCAACATTATCAAGGAGACCATTACACAGAACTTCAGCTGTTGCCTTGGGTGGGATGTAAACATTTTTTTTTTACATTATGACTAAACCTCCTTGGAACATAAAATGGCTGAAGGGCAACTGCCAACAGTTCAAACTACCTCACCAGCAGTGAGGTGGAGTAGATGCTAGTTGAATTACTTTCACCTACTACTGTATTGACTTCAATGTGACACGACATTTGAAACAAGTGGGCTTGACTCAAATTCGGGGTTAAGTAATCAAACTTTCTGCTTTAAGGATTTCATATCATTATACTTGCAGTAGCAGCTCTACACTGAGAGCTGCACATAGCAGAGACTTATTGTAAAATCCACTTACTTCGTGAGGCCAACAGAAACTGTCAAGAGAAACTGATGTCAAGGAGCTTTCTATCCCACAGAGAGGATCAGTTTATTTTCAGAAACTGCCCAGAGCCAATCCCTTAAAAATAAAAGTAAATTTTGGGGATTCATGGATTAATTTTGTGAAACAATGTGAATTTTGTTGTTGGCTGACTATGCTACACACAGGTCGCCATCTTAATCTTGGACTGTGGACAATGAGAGGCTGTATCTGCGACCATCTTTAAACATGTTAATGTCCAAATGTTTCTATACAGTATAAACCAGTCCAGCAAATTTAACATTTCTTCCCCTGTTGTGTCCTTTTGAGTCCACTTAGGTCACCATCTGAGTTTTGTCCATGCATGGGTTTATGTTTTATCCACTGAAATAGTTCCTCTGTACAACAAGCACATTCAGGGACTTCACAGATACAACAGTTATGTTCAAGAAGCAGCATTACTTCATTATTGATTCAAGACTGAATATAGAATAGAATAGAATAGAATATTCCTTTATTGATCCCCCATGGGGGAAATTTTTTTGTCACAGCAGCATCACAGACAAGACAAAAAGTGCAAAAATGCAGTTATAACAATAAGGGTCCTAATATTAAGAACTTAAATAAATGTAATAATTAAGAAAAAAATTAGAAAAGGGAGAAGAAAAAATAAAGCTTTCTACAATATACACAATTTAAATGCCATAAAAAAAGTGGTGGTGTAAAATCAGTTTTGTTACTGTTCATTGTAAAGTCTTATTGCAGAGGGGAGAAATGATCTGCGGTAGCGCTCCGTCCTGCAGGGTGGGAGTCTCAGTCTGCTGCTGAAGGAGCTGCCTAAAGCCCCCACAGTCTGGTGCAGTGGGTGAGAGGGATTGTCCATGATGGATACAAGCTTTGTTAACATCCTCCTCTCCCCCACCTCCTCCAGGGAGTCCAAAGAGCAGTCCAGGACAGAACCGGCCCTCCTGACCAGTCTATTCAGTCTCTTCCTGTCCCTCTCAGTGCTCCCTGCCCCCCAGCAGACCACTGCATAGAAAAGTGCAGATGCTACCACAGAGTCATAGAAAGTCCTGAGCAGAGTCCTGCACACTCCAAAGGACCTCAGTCTCCTCAGCAGGTGGAGACGACTTTGGCCCTTCTTGTACAGAACGTCTGTGTTTGTTGACCAGTCCAGTTTGTTGTTGAGGTGGACACCCAGGAATCTGTAGGACTCCACCATCTCAATGTCCAGACCCTGTATGTTCACTGGAACTGTTTGAGGTGTCCCCCTCATGCGGAAATATATACGCCCACAGT